AATGAAATTGTGTTATTTGTTTATCGTTATCTTATAGTTGTGATAAAAGTGACTCAGAAAAAAGTGACTTTCGCATATTTTCAATTATATCTGGGTCAAATAATGTGCTGGGGAGTTGAAAAATGGGGATTTTTTTGAAAATCATTTAAATTCCAGGGTGGGCCAATTCTGCATGGAAACGACCAAACCCATCATGAAGCTTTTGAATAATACTTGTTGCATATGATGTTGCAAGTTGGCAGTCGAGCTCAGGTCATACTACAAGGCCACATTATTTATCTACTTTATTGTTTGTGAAAAAAATTATATCCTATAATTTATATCCGTAATACTCAGAATCCTGTATAACAAACCCTTTATATAGTAATAAATTAAATCTTACTTGAAGAATGGTACTGGATAACCAACGACTTGGCACATTAGATAGACGGGTTGTTCAACACGACCCAATATAAGTTTCCCAAAGATCTTTCGCCAACTATTCTCGGACCGATATTATTTGTGGGTTCTAAGAATATATATAGCCTTTATAAATACAGCTTATAAATGCTAGTTAAAGCCACTGCCCTTATGTACGTGGATATAATATGTCGAATCAGAAAAAATCATAAAATAACTAGAATTTAATAAAATTGGCATAGTATGCCAAAACTTTGATAGACTCAGCGTTTGGTTGTAAAGTTTTAAAAGTCCGAATAAAATGCAAAAACTTAGACCCAAATAGGTTCCAAAGCAATGTTTGAAATAATGTGTATATAATGGAACTGAATATTTTGAACATTACCTAAAACTGGGCAAAGGATGAGCTTGGGCTTGGCAAAATAGTGCCACAGAATTTTCTACCCGCACTTCTAGTACATTGTATTTGAAGGATGATGATACTTTCGGTGCAGTTCCACTAACTGGAGCTATTAGCAATAAAATATAGATTCAAACTAACTGCTTTATTTAAATTATTATATATAATTGATTTCAATACCAGTGCCCGAACGTAAAAGAACTTCAAGATATCAAGGACTATTTTGCCTTATATTTTGATGTTTATGTTATAATTCGATAATAATATCATTGACGTAATCCAATTCAGCCAACAACCAATATAAAATTCATTATAGGAAAAAATAATCAAAGCGTCCAGGATTTCACAAATTTTTGTCTTTGTTTTTTTGTCACCGGTTATAATCACACCATCAATGGTTTAGGTTAGGACAAAAACATATCTTAGACTCCTAATTGAAAAAAGTTTATTTAAAATTTGTGGTATTTAATTGTCTCAATTGACAAACAAAAGTGATTCAAAAATATATCACTTATATAGGAGCATTTTCTAATATCAAATAATTATATATTTATTTTGATAAAAATATGGCAATCAATTTCAATAATACTTAGAATGTAGAAGAAAATTTGTCAGGGACCAGAATTCAGGCTTATTTTACAGAAACGTAAAGGACAAACAGAAAAAAATAACCAAAATGGAACAATAAAATTTAAAAAAAAAATCAGTCTAGTAATCTCAAAATCGAAAAAGAATCACCTAGATTTCGGTACTGGAAAACCTTGAGCTTGGCAAGGCAATTCTAAATCTTGTCCAGAATGTCGAACAAACGAAGATAATTTATCATCAGAGGCAAATTTAGGCGGTCGTGGTCCAACGGGTTCTTAATTTAAAATATATTTAAAGCATTATATTAAGCGTTATTTTTTTGACACTGCCGTTGGGAAGATGTACCAAAAAACCGAAACAATTTTTAAATTAGTAAAAGTAAATCCTTTTTTAAGTACCTGTAATTTGGTACAGGAAATGCTTGAGCCTGACACAATAAACCAAAACTTTGGCCAATATGTCTGACGAAAGTGCTACTTTTAGAATCTGATGGAAAAGTAGGAGCTTTTGCGCCAACCGGAGCTAAGAAATTATAAAATGTGAAAGCATTATGCAAACCATAAAAAAAATATTTTTTGCTAAATGCCATTATATCTGTTTACAGATCTACCTGAATATTGGGACGGGATACGCTTGGGCCTGGCAAAGTAAGCCAAAACTTTGACCCAGAGATTTTTGAAATGTGCTGCTTTTAGCTTCTGTAGAAAATGTTGGTGCTTTTGATCCGACTGGTTCTATATATTTCCGAAAAACATAACGAAATAAATGAGAAAAAATCTTTATGTGCAAATTTTTAAAAACTACTGAGATGTTTGCCAATCTACCTGAATAAAGGGACGGGAAACGCCTGCGCTTGGCAAAGTAAACCGAAACTTTGACCGGACGATTTTCTAAACGTGCTACTCATGGCTTCAGTGGAAAATGTAGGTGGTTTCGATCCTACAGGTTCTGTTTAAAAATTATAGAAAAAATGAGTTATAAAAAATTATATTCCTTTATGTCGATTTCATAATATTAAAATTAAATACTGAAATAATTTTAATTTCAAATGACTTTTAATACGCTTATGTTTACCTGAATGTTGGCACAGGGTAGGCCTGAGCTTGACACAACAGTCCAAAGCTTTGATTAATATGCCGTGTGTATGAAAATATATGCGAATCTGATGATAAGCTCGGAGCTTTCACACCGACTGGTGCTAACAAAATGAATTATGAAAAACATTTAGTTTAAGCTTTTGAAGTATTGCTGATTATTAGTGAGACCCCAAAAAAATAAAGTTACTTTTTTAATCTATACCTGAATGCTGGTACGGGAAACGCTTGGGCCTGGCACAAGATGCCAAAACTTTGCCCTATGCCTCTCTTGTACGTAAAGCTTGAAGAATCAGACGAAAACGTAGGAGCTTTCGCGCCTACAGGCTCTAGCAAATAATTCTCAAAGTTTTAAAATCTAATTGTAATTTGGATATACGCCGAATGGTGGGATATTTAACACTTAACCTACTACTAAAATACACAGCATGGACCATACAAATTTAGTATAAAGTTGTGATCGATGGGTGTCCCTATTTGGGAAATGCTAAGAGGAGAGATTGTTCAATATTTCAATTGGATAGTTTAATGTTTTAAAACTGAATTTATACACAATTTTTGAAAAAAAATGTATAAATCAAATTTCATTACTCTCCCAGTGTATAAAAATGCTTGTGTAAAATAAGAATAATATTTTATATTAATACATTGTTTAGTGAAAATGTGGTAGATCAAATGGCTAAGAAATGTAACATAAAGTCGAAAATTTGTAGCTGGCAACTTTAGAAATATTTCAACATTTTGATCCTAGCGGGATAAATGCGTAAATTGTTTATAGAGAGACGACGAGTAAAAGCTTTTTTAGCCGTGAATTTTTGTTTTATTTAATTTTTTAACTTGGCGATTCATATTCAAAATCTCAAGAAAGTTTTTATCAGCACTGCCCATGAGTTTGGCTTTGTGTGGTCGACAAACTAGTCAAAATTTTATAGCTTCAGTATTAACCAGGGTTTTTTCTTAAATATCTACTTTTTTCATATTTCAATATGAAATGTGCTATAATATACCTGAATATAGGTACTGGAAATGCTTGAGCTTGGCATAGCATTCCAAAACTTTGACCGACTGCGCGTTTGATTGTAAAGCTTTGAAAGTCCGAAGAAAAAGTGGGAGCTTTGGCACCAACAGGCTCTATAGTAATTTTTTGAATAATGGGTATAACTACACTGAATTGTCATTTTTGAATCGTATTTTCTATGCTTGAACGTTGGGATAAACGTAATAAACTTGAACAATGTATACGTGCAATTTAATCATGAAATTTCTAAATCTTCTTTATGAGTCGGTTATAAAAACGTGGCTATTTCCTGCATAGGACTCACTCTTAAGTTAGTATAAAAAACAATAATTCCAAGTAAGATAGTCTAAGGCTTTTGAATTATAAACAAATATATAATAAAAAATATTTTCATCAATTTATTTACCTTATGCTAGGCACGGGAAACGCTTGAGCTTGACAAAGTAAGGCAAAAGAATGTCCTACCGAGCGCACAAAAATACTGCCCTTGGAATCAGATGAAAAAGTTGGAGCTTTTGCACCTACGGGCTCTAAATCGTGTCGGAAAAAAATATTAACAATATAATTAAAAATGTATTTCTTTACCGGTATACCAGAACCGACACTAAATTAATGTGATTTGGATTTTAGATTCAAAGCATTATGAAATTGGCATATATATTTTTTATTAATAGCGAAAAAGTAGAGCACCTGAAAGAAGGAACAGGAAAGCTTTGGGCAGGACATAATACAGCAAAGCTATTAATATCCAAATACGTCTGTTGAAAATGTAGGTGCTTTGCTACCAACAGGTTCTGCGTAATTATTAATTATTATATTTAGTATATTACAATTATCGAACGTATTTTGCCAACTATGTGAGAGAAATATGGCCAGCAATAAAGCGGTATAATATTCATTAATCATAGAGAACTTAAGTGCAAATCGTAGCTCCAACGTACTGTATTTGGCATGGTATTCTGAATTGATCAGATCGTTTTTTAAGATATTTTCTTCATATTGTTTATCACATTCTTCAAACTATAGCAAAGAAAGAGCAAAAATACCATTTCCTACAAAGACTATGAAAATAAATGCCTATTTAGTTACTAAAGAGTACCTGAATCTAGGTACAGGAAAAGCCTGAGCCTGACACAGTAGCCCAAACCCGTGTCCTACATGACGTGTGTAAGATATACTAGTCGCATCACTAGATAAAGTCGGTTTCTTCACACCAACAGGTTCTATATATTTATTAAAATTAATTCACAAAATTGATATAGATTTCAATCTACCTCACACTTGGGACCGGGAATCCCTGGGCCTGACATAGTAATGCAAAGCTCGTTTTAGAATTTCTCAGGAACGAATTCACGCGATTGTCAGTTGAAAATTTGGGAGCACGCACTCCAACTGGTTCTATACATTAATCAAAACAAATCTAAGATTCAAATAGAATAGATTTTACTTGACAAAACCAGAATGTTGGAATTAAGATAAGGTTCTACGAAAAAAATCATACCGAAAGAAAGGTACTGGAAATGCCTGAGCTGGGCATAGCAACGTAACACTCATTTCACTTTTTGTTGTAAAACCTCTTGTTGTGTCGCTTGAAGAAAATTTCGGCATAACGCTTCCGACTGGTTCTGGTAATTATTTAAAGTTACGAATTTGGCATATTTTTTACATAAGTTTTACTATTCTAAACCGAATCCAAAAATGTTGGAATAAGGATGTGAAGATTGTTTATAGTATTTTTAATTTTGAAACATATCCTACCGAAATAAGGGTACTGGGAAAGCTTGAGCAGGGCATAACAGGGTGACACTTTGATTGCTTTTCGAGGTAAATCCTTTTGTAGTTTCACTAGACGAAAATTTCGGCATAACACTTGCGACAGGTTCTATCAACGATTAAAAATTATTTATCAAAGCCCAAGTTAAAATTTTGTTTCGTCTTATATATGCCACTGCCTCAACAAAATTAAGAGACTTTGATGATACGCTCGGAAAAAAATCTTTACTAATCCGTGCTTTTATTCAAATTAATTGTTATTTCTATGTGTAATTAATTAATTTATGAACATACCTAAAATTCGGAACGGGAAAAGCTTGGGCTGGACAAAGCAAAGTCAAACTTTTAGAGCTTTTGCTAGTGAATGATCTACCTGTATCGCTCGAAGAAAATTTCGGCTTAACGCTAGCGACTGGCTCTACACATAACATTAAAAATTGAATATAAAAAGATTTAAAAGTGCTATAGGTTGTAGACAAACTAAATCATACGATTTTATTATAATTATACGTATTTCACCTGAAAGCTGGAACAGGAAAGGCCTGTGCCTGACATAGCAAAGTCACACTTAAAAATTGTTTGGATTCAAACGTTCGACTTTTGTCCAGACTTGGAAATTTTGGTTTCACACTGGCAACGGGTTCTATTTTCAAAAAGATATCAAAATTAAAAAAATATTCATAAAAATTAAATTACGCCAAGCCAAAAGTAGAGATAAGTTATAGATAGGCTTCCAAAATAATAAAAACTGTAGAAATGATGTATGTAATGCCAAATATTAGAAGACGAGCAAAATATACATTAGCTAAAAGCAACTAACTCATCAAGCAAATCCCTATATCTCACCTAAATTTAGGCACGGGAAAAGCTTGTGCTGGACATTGCAAAGTGGTTCCAAAACTTTTACCGACAGATGCCGTTCTGGTAGTGTCACCAGCAGTCAAACGTGGTGACACACTTGCAACAGGTTCTGGGTAAAATATAGTACAGATACTGACATTCTAATTATATTTTTTATTTTTATATTGGGTATTGACAAAAAATCAGTCGCACTAAATTTGAGTAGACTGCCACAAGATGATAGCTAGGAGAAAAGGCAAGAATGAAAGAAATTACACGTAAAAAATCCGAATGATAATGTGAAAGAATATATGTTTTAAGAAACTTATTATTCAAATAATTTTGGTAATTATAACGATGAACTAATGCTGGTTACACTCAGTATTTTTTTTTGGATGTATGTATTCCAAAATAGAGTTTATTTATTTAAGCAGGGTAATGTACAACATTTTATTCTCATATAAAAGTTATCTCCATATCACAATGTATGAAAAGGAAAAATGCCATTCAACAATATAATAAACAATCAATGAAACATCATTTAAATTGTGGGAAGAATCAATATGATTATTTTAAAAATCAATCAATTAAAAAATAAAATTTTATTTAATTTAAAAATAAAAAATATTTAGAAAAAAATTAATTCGCGCTTTAGTGCCGGCCGGGTACCCTATCCCAACATTCAGGCAGTGGCGAACAAACATTTTCTGATCTTAGGTCTTGTTGTAGTCATCAGAATATATTTGTTTTAAAAAAAAACATACATTTTTATTCTAATAGTAATGTTTTAGTACAGTTCAAAATATAAATAAAAATTAAATACTCATTAGAATTACTATTACATGGAGAACTTGCATGAAAAATTTATATAATAAGATGTCTTTATATTTAAACTGGTAGTCATTTGTGCTATAAGTTGGTATATGAAGACATTTGAAGTATTATAACTATAAATACCTTTTATACTTAATTCTGAAATGATGTAACTATATACTGTTGAATAATTAATTTAAAAATAGTACTTCCAAAATAATGGCAAATTAAAAAATAGAACTTCATTGAGTCTTTGCGTCATTGTCTTCATCAGTATCTATTTCGAAAAGTGTTCAAGCAAGTTTTTAAAGTTTATAACTAAGCTACTTTTATTTTGATTATACTTATTTATACTTATAAAAAAATATTATATTAGGCTGTTATCAAAATAAATATAATTGAATTGAAAAAATTTCTTAAATTTTGATGCAAGTTTCCAATTAGTAAAAATTAACATTACATAATCACAACATGGTATTTTGCTACAGCAATCGCTATTGATATTGATAAAATCGATAATTTTGTTATAATAATTATTTTCATATGATGATTCGTCATGTGTTTTGATGATAATGAGAAAACAGTGAACTGTGGTAAAACATTACAAAACAAGTACAATAAGCGTGCGATATAAGCATTTGATGTTATATGACTAATCTACAAATATTTTCAAATATGTTCAAATTATATAATAATATTTTCTTTTCAATTAAAACTTTAATTAAAATGTTTAAATATAGCATTCATTTCCATGATTATAACAAATCAAAATGACAAATTTTCAAACTGCTCTTTCAAAGAAATGCATACAATATTATTTAGTCATTTAAAAGCATATTACATTTACTAAAATGACTATAAATATTTTAATATTATTCTGTCTTTAAAAATTTACGTATTTACTTTCATTTAATTTTTATGTAAGATATAATATTCGACATTATAAAAAATTTTAGACTTGTGCAAAAAAATAAGTTCAAAGATTCTCATTTGCAATAGAGAAGACTTTAGTTTTGTATGTGTGCTTGAAATTTTTAATAGTAAGTACTTTTATTAAAATATTAGTTAAATGAAAAAATTATAAATGTATTAATTGTACAATAGTATCATATATCGTATACATTAACTATTTTCAAAATTTATTTGAGATTCATAAGAAACATAATTGAATGTAGTATTCTGATTTTAAATGCCTTTGATATATTGCACCAAGTAAATAAGATTTTTTCCTACATCATTCATAATTTTTGTCTTCTTTTATATTATTACTCTTGATACGATTCCATTTATAATAAATAAATTTAAAACAAGCATTTTAATTATACTAATTGTAGATTAACGTTGATAATCTTTTATATAGACTTTCTTCTTTATATTTGTTGTTTAAAATAAGTAAACATAACAAAAATTTCATTACCAACAAATAATTTTGAATATTATTACATATTTGAACATATTAAAAAAGCATATTCATATGATATATTATGTCTATGATTGTAGCAATAAAAATATGAAAGTTATATCATATATATAAATAATTTTATTTTTGATTTATTTGTAAAATACTACTAGTAAAAAACAGTAACTTCCATATTTTTATAACACACAAAAATTTAGCCATATGTTTAGATAAAAAAAATCATTTGAAATAATCTGTAAAAATTTAACTGTAATATAAAATTAAAGTTTTGTCAACAATTAAACATATGACTAAATATAATTTTTTATTAACAAAATAATCTACCATATTTTATACAACGTAATTATTACTTTTTAATTATTACTTTCTTTTTGTAAGTTCGTTGTATAAAATTAATAAACAGTGTTAAATAGTACATTATGGTAATATTAATTTTAATCGTCTTTTTTCCTAAAGAATAATAAAATTATCTGGATAAAATTTGAATACTAAATGATAAAAATATTAAGGAATAATTATTGATGACACAAGTAAAAAATACGACTGAATGATACTAGTATGAAAAATGATTCTGAATGTTCAATTAACGTTCATTAAATTCTATTATAATATTATGGTGAAAACCTAAGCTAACAATTGTTAAAAAGTGATGATAAAATAACTTAGACTGTTATTTAATATTATTATAATAATGATTATATTATCAATATGCCCATTAGGTAAAATATAAAACAATCTGAACTTTAAGGAAATTTATTAAAATGTGTAGACTTAAATTAATATTATCAGAACGAAAGAAAAAAAGCCTAGCTGTGAAAGTTTTCATTAGTAATCCCGTATAATTATTCTTAAACATTTGCATTTGTAAACTTATCGGCATTAATAATTAATCCATTTAATAAACAATGAGTATATCAAAACCTTGACATCGACATGATTTACTCCATATGAGGTCGTTTTGCGTCTCAATTTTAAAGCATAATACATATGTTTTAAATATTAATAAATGCAAATTGTTTTTAACTTGAGGTATGATGAATTGAAATGTAGTCAACTTTTTATTATGTGCACTAGGTCGCTTGTTTTTATATGTAATATAGCCATTAATTTTTGTAATTGAGTAAAGTTATAATTATGAAGCAATATAAAACCACGAAGTTGATATAATGTTTTTTTCGGAATTGTATAATAATGATTCCAGATCAAATTTTAAACTCATTTAACACTGTTTTTAAAGTAGATTATATTAAAACTAAATACCTGCAAAATTTGTTAAATAATTCTCAAAAAAAATTTTTTAAGGTGATACTATATGTTTATGATAAAAAAGAGCTTATTATTACTGTAATAAATAATGGTTATTCTATAATTTATTAAACAACTTAAAAATGTTTTTTGCAAATGAATGAATAACAAATTTCTTATACAATGATTTTGCAGGTACAACCAGAATACTTAAGTTAAAAACTTAATCTAAGTATACACTGGTTGTTTGTAAGTGTCCATTAAACCAAACTCAGTTATTATTTGTTTCTACATAAACTATTGTGATTAATTATATTTCTGATACCTGCAAACATTTAGAAAATTATTAAGTTGTTACCTTAATATTACATCCATATTTCACTTCAGGTAAGTTCCCCAAATCTCACTTTTTTATTCCAAAAAGTAGAAAGCAAATTGGAGCAACGCAAAGTGAATTGGGGAACCAAAAATCAAGTCAAAAAAAAGACGACCAAAAACGAAAAATAGGTTCCATGATCACGAAAATACTTTTCA